TTTGAAGCAGGGGGGCTGCTTTCAGAACAGGGTAGATCTGGGTGCTACAACAAAATGGACAATGCTAAAGCATATGATCAAAAGGAGATTCCTTGAATTTGTTGTCTTCTTTCATGGAATGAGTTTAAAATACACAGCCTCAGTGAGCTCCACATGTTTACGAAGTTTTCCTGATGATGACCCGATCTACTCTACAGTGACATCCTTGACAATAAAGCAATTACTCAATGGTAAGATTTTTGCTTTCAATGATTATAATAGCTTCATCCAGTACAGAGTGATCTAAGTAAAATGTTTTACTCGTTGAAACACTACAGCAGAAAATAAATCTAATGAAGGGACACAGAATTCATCTGTAATGAAGAAAAGACAGCTAGTCAAGTGCTCTGTGGTCTTAGAGACAGTTACAGTTCTCAGTGGCCAGTATGTCCTTGAGTGACATTTCAGCATGCATTCATCAGTTCAAGCAGGATGGTTCATGTTATGGAAGGCTAGGGTGAAGAAACAACATTGCACTTTTTTTCTTCCAATTTATGTCATCTCCATTGATAAGAATTATGAATTAATTAATCCAAAAGTTTAATGGAAATAATGCATAGAATTTCTCCATGAAAAGAAAAAGGGAGAAGGAAAGCTAAATACTTTTGCAATTTCTGTCTTTTATTCACTTTCAATATGTTAAGTTCTGTGTTAGCAGACTTAAAACACCTCCAGGCTGACAGAAATGAAAGCAGATCTCAGATTGGTTTCACCAGCCCAGATGTTGGCAATGACTGCAACATTCTCTTTAACTAACCTTGTTTTCAATTTTTTTGCACAGTAGTCACTGTCAGCAGTTCATCTCTTCTTCAGCCCAAGTGTACAACTTTGGGCCCCTGGAGGAGGTTCTCTAGCACCATTAACGTTTCCAATGGCATTTGAACATGAGCATCATCGCAGCACTACTAATGTTCTCACCTAGCTTAGGATTTGCTTTGGCAAATAGATTCTTTTGAAACTATTCAAACTTGAGTCTGTTGTTAAGACTGGAATTAAGCATAATGCATGTGTGAGTGAAAGGTCCTGAGGCAATCAGCTGACCAGGTTGTGAGCAATGCATTAGCAAAGACAAAACTGAGAAAGGGGCAGGACAAAATCAAAGACTCCTGTAGTAGTGATATTTTTTATTCTGTGTAAGTCAGTATTGAAGGTACTATAATAGATTAAATGCTGTAGGTGAAAAAATAAAACACATCAGATGAGACGGCAGCATATCAGAAATGTAAGAATGAGGCTGTAACCTAGCGAATAAGTTCCTCTGTTGCTGCTTGCAAATACCTGGCATGGAAAATTCTGTCAGAGAATGCAACTTAGATAACTCAGAGCATGTACTGCTATGCTGATGCTACCTAACGACAGTGCAAGGAAAAAATGGGGAAGTTAGGTTGAAAGCATTACAGCGTTTTCAAATTTTCCATTCTGTTCATTTTGTGGGTTTTTTTGTTTGCTTGTTTAATTTTCTCATTTATGTCTAGAGTATGTTTGCAACAGAATGCCATGATTGAATTAAATAATTTGGGATTCTAATACAAAATCTGAAGCAGATCTGAAATGAATGCACAGATTGCTGTATTCTTGAGACTCTCCAGATTTCTCATCAAAAATGATATACAGGTTATCTAATCTTTCCATGAAAGGAATACAAATTTAAATTAAAGCTTCATACATTTGATAGATGGAATGGAACTAATAACTACTTTCTCAACTCTAAAGGAATAAACCAAACAGGCACTAAGTAGCACTGGCCGGATGTATGCAGCTCTTTGTGTGGCTGAACTTCTTGACTACTGAACATAGCTGGCAAAAGAGGCTTTTAGGAAGCCACTCAGAGGATTGTGAATGTTTGCTGTTGATCCAAGGCACTGGGGCACTTCTTGAAGTACAGGTTCTCTGTTGTATCTAGCCAAACAGATGCCCCAGGTAAGCTAACCAAGACTAAAAGACATCTCTGAGCTGTAAAGGGCATGTTCTCATGTGTGCATATCTGGACCTTATGTACAGAGTCATAAAAGAAATGCTTTGCAGACTGGGGAACGCTTTCTGACTGTCATGTGCTTCTCAGACCAGAGTAGTTTGATTTCAGTCCACTCCTAACCATTCCAATATAAAGGAGAAAAAAACTGGCAGCTTTCATGTCTTGAGAAACTTTCTTCACAGGCTTGTATCTGTTTTTCTCTATTTCATAAAACCGTATTGCAGTGTAATGGTTTATAGTCATCACTGAGACTTTAAGATGGTTAATTGACTGTGATATGATTAATATGTTTAGAGGCAGACTGAAGCGATGAAGTGATTAGACCAGCTTAGCAATCCAGCAGTCTTCAAAAGCCAAGCTTACTCATCTGTAATTTTATCTCATTAGGATAGCTTTGCAAATTAGACTTTTTTTTTTTTTTTTTAATAAAGTTCTTACTTGAGATGTCTACAATTTCTTTATTTGCCAAGCTAGTATATTTTATCATTTTATTTTCATTGCTTCACTGCCATCATTACGTTCTGTTGCTACGATGGAATGCACTCAGGAAATACTGGCATTCTATGTTAACAAGGTGAAGATGTCTGAAATAATAGCATAACAAATTACACTCCACAATTATTTATTTCTAATTTTGTTGGTTATACAAAATAGTGCATGCTGTTGAGTGGCTGTGATGTATTCCAGAGTTTCTTAAGTAATTCTGTTGCCATCTTGTAGAGAGTTTGTTTTAATGCTGGGACTCAGTACGGTGCTTGAAGATAGTTCAGGGGATTATATTTTGTATCTGAGTACCTAAGCTCTACTGCAGTCATATGAGAATTATTAACCCAGGAGCTTCTGTGCTTTTCAAATCAGTAAGGAAGCTGAGATTTTAAATGCCTGAATTCTCATTTAAAAAAAAAAAAAAAAAAAAAAAAAAAAAAAAAAAAAAAAAAACCTTGTACTTCAGTGTTGCAGTTTAAGGAACAGCTCACAAACACACAAGTAATGGTTTGAAGAGTTTATCAAGCTGTCTGTAATTGCTGTATCTTATGTTCCAAAATGTATCAGAAAAAATTAAAGTGAGTAATTTGTTGACTGTGGACTGTTTGCAGCAGGACGTGTGCATTTTTTTGGAACCACTGGAGACCCACCGTTGGATTCTTAAATTGTGGAGACTGTGCAATCTTGTTTCCAGACAGCATTTTCTCTAGAAAAATGTCACTGCCTTATTGGTCAGTCACTAGAATAATCAGACCAGCTACACATTGCAATGCTTTTTATGTATATGATGGCGGCAAATGTTTGTTGTAGCCATGCTGAAATGCTCTATGCTTACATATGAGGATTGCTTGCTCCCATTTAATAGTAGTTGGCTTGTTCCAACCGATGCAGCTTAAGGTTACAAGAAAGAAACGCTGTGAGGTGGTTCTCTGAAAAATGTGAAATATTAACCCCTGTCGTTTTTATCACACAAGGTCTCTCAAACTCAGGCACATCATTTATTTTGTTTTATATAAAATGGCTGGCAAGTGGGGCTATGATGAATCACAGTCTAATGATCAGGTCAGGACACTTGGTGAGCTGTTTTAACTTGAAAGACAGAACTGCATATCATATTCACAACTGCTGTTTCTTCGATAAAGTTTCCAGTCTTCCAATTTATTTACTTTCAATTCTGGTTTCAGCTCATTTAACCTTCAGAAAATATTTGTGCTGTCTACTGCTTACACCAGGAAGACTCCAGCAGCCACTTTGCTGCATTTATCTCTTGCTGTGGATCTGTGATGTCTGCAGTAATAAATGTATCCATTTGAAATAGAAGTTATTAAGTTCTTGTTTAAGTGTCTTCTGGAACAAAACATTAGCTTTTGCTTCCAAAGGGCAGATACTGCAGGAAATAGATGTAACCTGGCCAAGGGCAGCTTTATGCTTAAATGTCACTTTTCTGCTTGCATCTATGAAAACAGCAAGGATATCTGCATTCAAGCACTTCAGTTTCGTGATACATCAGAACAAGTATCTCTGCAGAACTGAAAGCAGCATGACTGTAACTACTGCTTTATTTCTAAAAACATAGCCTGTCCTTCCAATTTGCTGTGATTTATTTATTTGAACTTCTAAATCTGAAAGATAAAGGAAAAAAAAGAGTTGGATGAGTGTTGGTATTTGCACACTAGGCTTCTGTCTGCAGAGGCACTGATTCAGCTTGCAAACAAAATGTGACAGTCTTGCAGTAATCCCTGGTTGTCCTGTTCAGAAATTCTTGTGAGTTTTGACACTGATATTCTCACCTTGAAAGTACAGTGTAACTGTGGCTATTGCTTTTCAAAACTGATGCATATCAGTGAAACCATATGGATCCTCGTTTTGCAGAATATCAGGGGGGAAAAAACAGACTAAAACAAGAAGCACAGGGATGATTTGGGTTGCCTGCCTGAGGCTGCTTGAACTCAGTTCATATGTGTGTGTACAGAGCACAACAGAAATCCTGGCAATGAACAGGACTTTTTAAATACCAGTGCAATAGTTAATGACAGTCAGTGAATCATAAAGTTGATAGTAATTAATCTAAGTGCTATGTATTTTCTTAAATGAAAGCTAAAAGGGACCTCCAGTAAGTGCCAAAACGTACCAAGTACACACTTCTTACATTCAATTTTGTATTTTGAAAAGTTGATATAGATATTAGGAAATTAATTTTATGTATTAACAAAAGCAAGAATGCAACACAAATCAATGGTCTTTTTGTTTGTTTCAGCCATGTCTTGTTCTCAAAGAGTGTGCTTTAAAATGCCTTTTTTACCAAATATATTTTGTGTATAATATATGCATTTATCACAACAGTTTTATACTTTAACTTTAACAATGTATAAATTGCAATAACTGTTTCTTTTCTGAGTGCAATTTAGAAACTGTACAATTATAAAAGTGTATGGGATGTCAAAATTAGTCACCAGTCACTAAATGCTAATTAATCTTTCTCTTACATTCTGTTTTTCAGATTTGTGATAAAGAATGGCATTACTATGTTGTCAATGTTGAGTTTCCTGTTGTTACCTTATACATGGATGGAACGACATATGAACCTTACCTTGTGACCAATGACTGGCCTATTCACCCTTCGCACATAGCCATGCAGCTGACAGTCGGTGCTTGCTGGCAAGGTAATATGGCAGTAGAAAGTAGTATTCTGAATTCAAAATGGAATTTCACTTGTCTTGATACTTCAATAATGAAAGTTACTAAAAGGTTTCGGTATAAAAAGAGATCCAGATTAATAATTGATCAAAGTCCATGGATAAAAACAGGTAGGACATTAGCAAGCTTTGCAGTTCCACCATCTAAAGAAGTGTTCAATCTAGTTTATATATTTAATATGAAATATTATCATCTTTATCTTTTGACTTCACTATTTTTAAATACTTCCCTTAATGTCCAACTTTAAGCAAACTGTCTAAATAGCAGTCTAAAGAGCAACTCCACTTTGAATCTCTGCATGATGTTTTTGTTGTTGTTTTCACTACTTATGGACAAATTCTGCACTCTTCACGTGAAATCACAGAATCACCAAGGCTGGAAAAGATCTCTAAGATCATCCAGTCCAACCATCCACCTATCACTATTTCCCACTAAACCATGTTCCTTATCCTGTTTGGATGTTCCTTCCACATCCAAACATTTCCTGAACATCTCCAGGGACAGTGACTGGGGGACAGTGATTCCACCACATCGATGGTATATTACCAGTAATTCCACTGATTCAAAGAATTTACTCTATTACAGACCAGATATAAAAGTGAGGGTAAAGTAAACCTGAAAGTCTCATTCCAAAGCCGTACTTAAATATTAGTTTATCCTGTTTCCTACCTTTTATAGTATTTCTTTTTTCATACTTTTTATACCAACGTTTGTTTCCTTTTCTGTTCTCTGCTTTCACTTGAAACTGTCCTTTTCTGCTTATCTGCTCTTGTGAAGTTCTCTTCTTTACTGTTCCGTGTTAAACTTTTGTTTATGCTTTGTCTTGTTTTCACTTATTGCAGTCATGAAGCATGGTGTGAAGCAAACTGTACAATTAGGAAAACATGCTTTCACATAGATTCTATTTCCTCACCACTCTTTAATGATGGTCCTTTTCTCTCTTCTTGTTAACTTGTTCGCCAGTTTGATTTCTGCACAGTATTTTGTTTGAAAAATTTGGTCACCTTATGTATGCCAGAGCTATTCAGCGTGAGTAACATTAGAAGCAAATCCAATTGTTAGATTATGATTACCTTGGGGGTAAAGATCCAATCTTTATTTTGGTGGTAAAACGAAGAATAAAGCCACACTATTAGTAAAAGCAAGATTTGATACATTTTGAACTCAGATGAGTATTATGATAGCTAGTTAATCACTGTGTTATTACACTTATACATACGTACAAATATACACTGAGCCATCCTTACCTGATGTTTGCACCCTTTCATCTCCACAGGATGAACAAGCGAATTGCAGTATTGCCTTAATGTTGAATATATATAACAGAATACCTTTAATATTATTCTAAGGTACTAAAAATCTAAGGCAATCTTAGTCCTTTTTTTTTAGCTAAAAGTATGTTGTGAAATACCTATCAAACTGTTCACCAACTCTAACTTCATTTTGTCAGAGACTGAGTAAAGCTTAAGGTAGTCCAAGGAAGTCTGTGACTTACCTAAAAGCAAGCATGGTGGCTAGTTTCCAGCTTTAACAGCACATCTGGCATGAGAAAAGTTGCAGAAATGTTTTTTTACTTTTTGTTTTGACATAATCAGTATTAATTTTCCTCTACCTAAAATAATGTACGCTGGATTTTGTTATAGTATAATCTTTCTTTTTAATATAATTTCAAAGCCTTTGCTCTTTAAAAATTGCACAACCAAACTTAACTTGGTGCATTTGAAACTCCTTCCTGAACAGGTTGTATAGGCAGTATGCATTGTGGTATCTGTAGGCAGATAACTGTGACCGAAAAAACTAAAACCATTTTGCAGTTGCAACAGTAATACACCAATTCTTATGCAGTGCTGTATGAAAAGGTATTGCAAACTACAAGCAAGATTTCTATTTTTCCTTTTTTTTCTGATAGTAATTAGAATTGGGTGAGGATTTTGGGGATACTGTTGTTACATTAAGATAGGAACTGCCCCAGGCAGTTAACAGTTGTTTAGACAATTCCAGAAGCAGCTCTTGGTTTCTTCTGGCAGTCTGTTCTAAGCCATGTGTCTATATTATGTCTTAACTATTTCTGTCTTGGAACAATTGCCTATTACAATGGTTTTAACCAGTGGGGTGATCAGCAAATCATAGAAGGACCCTTCTTCTGTTTTGGTGTCAAGAATGTGTGATAAAAGTAGCAGCTGAGATTTGTAAGACAGGGTCTGTAATGAGGATAAGTAAGTGGCATTGTTCTAAAAGGTTTTTTCAGCCTTTCGTGTGTTGCAGACATCGACCTTAACCCCCTGACTGACAGTAAGGACAGTTAGCATTTCCCTTGTTGCTCACTTCTGAAGTATCCCCCAAGAAATAATGTTTGCAGCATATTAATAATAATCAGTAAACAGCTGAGTGAAACACACGATGCTAGGCAATTGAGGAGTTGTGGTTTATTTATTTATTAGGAAGGTCTTAATGCTACTGTACCACCTTTCTGGAGTTGAGTTCTATTTGTTTGAGCTGTATGGGACTGATAATTGGCTGACTACCGAAACACATCAAGTTAACTTACCCTGTTAAGCTGAGAAGATTCTGAAATGCTGATGTAGAAGAATATGAAAACGTCAACGTAGTGCAATTACAAGTGATGTGATAAGAGTCAGATGTAATGACATCTATTCACCTTAGTGGATAAAATTAGCAGGTATATCATATGTCTTTGGCTCTGGCAAAAGGTGCTTAGGAAACGCTTATCTGGCAGCATATTCTTTCTAATTACGTGTAAGAGTATTTGTTCTGTAAGTGTGCATATACAATTGCTCGTGTTTAGTCCTGTGCAAAAGGCTAGCTTTTCATGCTATCCTGAATTAACAGGGATGTCCTTTGTAAGACACACGTAACATTCAGAAGACCTGTAAGCTGTGATCAGTAAATAATAGCAGCACTTCCAGGAAGAGCAAGAGGGATGATCAGAGTCTACAGTTCTAGATGGAAACAGTTAAAGGGAAGATCTTGGTTAGACTGCCAGAGGAAAAAGTATGGTAATATTTTGACAGATAACATTCTCTTTATGAATAAGCTTTCAACACTATGAAGATCAGTAAGCAATGGAGTAGACTGCTTCAGGAACCTTTGTCTTCAGAAGAGTTTAGAACATCTCTGGTAATTCTCTAGAATGGTACAGGTACATATATATTGTATATGTACTACAATGGGGCACAGGTGATCTTGTCTTGGGGCTAGTGGACAGACAAGGTCATCCCCCAATGTCCGTTCAGATCCTGCTATCAGCTGTTAAATTGCAACTTTCCTAGTATGAACCATCTTGCTGTAACTGTGGGCATAGTTTTGTATATTTTCTCTACTGATACAACAGGACAGTAGCTATTCCCAGCTATTTTTCACTCGCAGGCTGAAGGTAACCACTTACAGAGCTGCTGTGTTTGCACACCCACATTAGTGAGTCGTTTTGGATCGGGAGCACGCTTTTAACAATCCCCTGATCATCCCCAGTCCTCTGCTGTTGTCCACATGGACCAGTGTCTGAGCACATGAGCTGGATTCTTGCTGGAGGAAACTAACTGGCTGTACACACCAGCCATGTACCCACTACATTCAAACCAAAAATAAGTCTTTTTTGTTGATGGCATCTGAGAAGAATTAGTCTGAAATGAAATAACAACTGAAAAAAAAATAATAAATGAATTTATTACCTGAAATTTACCTGAAATTGCTGTGCATGGATGTAAGCAACAGTCATGCAGCTCTGTAGGATCACTTCAGCTGGTTTATATTGCTTGTACTGCCAGAGGTAGCTATAGCACCAAATTCTTTTAGCTTCTTGTCTATCCCTTCATACATTTTAAGGAACTAGTTTCATATTTAAATACATTAGCTTATCTGAGACTGCTTCTCATTTTGCATCTCATCAGAACTGTTATGACCTGCTGGCACACTTTTACTGTATGTTTCTAAATTTCAAAACCTAAGGTTTTAACCTTAGAGCTTGCTGTCTTCAGAACTATGTTAAGGATATGAGAAGCTTCAAATGCAATGATTCCTTTCTCCTGTAAGGTTTCACCTGTTTTTGTCATCATCGGGTACATTGTTGTTATATTATTAGTGGAAATATATGCTTTTAAAGACAATTCAAATACATAAATGTAATGACATTTTTGGGAAGAATTGGCATCCCTGTAGGGTACTAGCTATTTACCAATTGTCTTGATAAGGCCTACATTACAGAACAAACTGATGTGAAAGGTTCCATGAAACCTCTAAAAAAATTTGGCCCAGAAGAAGTTTTCTGTATAACTGACAGACAAATGAAAGAAGGGAAAAAACATAATTTCTCTTTGAGGGTCTTTCTTTGAAGTAGAAAGAGCAGCAGTTTGTACTGTAGGCTTAACATAAAAGAACAGAAATGTCTGCTTCTGTGAAGAAAAAGCGTGCCTAGACACCTTCTTTACTCTCAGCACAACAGTGTATATTTTCCTTACTACATAAGGAAAAAGTTGTGCTTTTACTGCACAGATTAAAAGAGATGGCTTTCAGGCAGTAACATCAGCCTAAACTAAAGTTGCCATTTTATCCCCTATTCCTAATACTGTTCCACACACAAATCTTCAAGTTAAAGTTCAAGCCTGAGGTATATTGCCAGGCAGAAATAGGTTACTGGGAACTAAAGCTACAAACGCTGTGAAGATGACTTATCTAACAATTACAGCAGCTTATCCACTGCTAATGCAATTAGTCTGCACGGCTTCACTACTGCGTGGCTTTCTTGGTCCCTCTCAGGCTCAAGGTAGGCAGCAATTCACAAGCACCAATTCAGCTAATGCTTGCAGGAAAAGCAGGCTGTAAAAACTATCTTAGAGGAGAATGAGTAAATCATTAAATATCCCAAGAGTAATTTAGATGCTATCATCACTGTTGCAGGCAGTATATAATCACATTTTATTGACAACTCCTAAAGATCAGTCTTCCTTTGAAGTTGCATAGAGTGAAGCTGAATAGAGCATAGCTAGAGGGCCTAATGCAATGTACTGTGATGGGACCTCATCTAGCACCAAATGAGCTGGCTTGGCTAAGATACTGTAAGCCTTTTAGCGTAGTGCTGTACATTAGTGTGCAGTCAGTGCTCTGAATTTATACTGTATTCCTAGAGACCTAGGCACTGTTTACACAGAGCATATCTTGGTCTGTCAAAGCTGGTTTTGGAGGAAAAAGATAAAGGCTGTGTCAGAGAACTTGTAGTAGAGAACTTGCAGGTACAGTTTCTGCATAAATAAGTAAGGCCTCAAAAATGTTGTGAAATTCACGTTTGATCACTCCAATAATCTCAATTCATTTTTGAAAATGCTCTGCTTCATTGGGCACAGATTTGGGAAATCATGTTTTGTCTCAAAGTATGTTATCACAGCTTTGTAAGCACCTGAATACAGTACTAGAAGAACACTGACAAGAATCTTAAAGACAGGTAGCTAGTACCATCCAACAACCTGCAAAGCAATTCTACTTAGCGCAATAAATGGAACTTCAGAAATAATTGGCGAAACTTGATTTTCAGCCCCCAAAAAACGTGAATTATTTGATTTATGTTTTCTGTATCAATAACAATAATCATTTTATATTTTCTTTCTTGCAGGAGGTGAAGTCACCAAGCCTAGGTTTGCTCAGTATTTCCACGGCAGCCTAGCCAGTCTTACTATCCGTCCTGGAAAAATTGAGAGTCAGAAAGTGATTTCCTGTTTGCAGGCCTGCAAGGAAGGTCTGGATATTAATTCACTTGAGAGTCTTGGCCAAGGAGTGAAGGTAAGGAATGAACTGACATCGTCCTTGATAAAAATTAAGAGATGATTTATGAAGTGGAGGGACCGAGGTAGAGTACACACAGTACAAGCGTGCTTCTAAAACTAATGTAATTTCCCATAAAGTCATGAAAAGAAAAAGTGGAACACTAGAAGAGCTATGATGCTGCAAAACAAAATGTTTCCATTATTACCAAGGCAGATGCTCAGAAAGTAAGGTGCTGAAATTTCACAGCCTGTAAGAATTGCCAAGTCATGTTCTCATTCATGCTTATTTTCATAGTCTTGCAGAAGTAGATGTAGATCAAAATTTAGTAATTCTTTGGAACTCAAGCAGCTTTAAAGCAATGCAAAATGTAATTGGAATATCTTTCATCTAAGGCAAAAAGAAGTTCCAGTGTAGGTGGTCTGAGAAATTCTGAGTGGACTCCAAGAGGAAAACTAGATAACAAAAAACCAAGAAATTAAAATTAAACATTTTCATACGCATTGTTATCATCCGTATTATACATATGACTGTCTTCCCTGATTGTTTAGCACTTTTTCTAAGATTGGAGAACAGAGAGTAAGAAACTCTGTGTCAACTGACGTAGTGGCCAGATGGCTTTGCATTCATTAAGACAGCTTTTCTTCTTTTGGGTACACTTGTAGGATCTTGATTATTACTGCCACAGTGCTTACATAAAAAATTCATTTTAAGATGTCCCATACTGACCCTGTTAGATGATAGGTATTCTCCCGCCTAAAGTAACACAGGTAAGCTATTTCCTAGTACAGAAATCACAGTACCCTCTCCTGAAAGAGCTAAGCTTCTGATTCATGTAACCGGGAAGATATTTTGGCTGCAGACTGTGTAGTCAGTGAAACAGCACAGGTTATTTGGCAATCTGTTTTTCAGGGCAGAGGAAAGTGGAACTTTAACACTTGATCTGCATTATGCACTGGAAGTGCCTTTTAATACATTTCATTAGCTAAACCTTTTGTTTTACCAGAAAGGAGACTGACCTAAAATAAAATTCAATATCTGTCTGGGTGATAATATACAGAGAAGCACCTGAATACAGTACTACAACCAATATGTTTCTAAAAACAAGGGTAAAAATATAAATTGAAGGTGCAAAGTTAAGGAGGAACTATTTTAAATAGGCAGTGCATGCAGTGAGCAGCTATGGGTTTTTGAAACTTGAGTTGTATATGCAAGCCAGTAAGTTCTTTTGCTGGGGTTTTACATGAATTAAAGAAGTTTATACTTGGTGCATGATGTTTAAAAGTATAGAAATTCTTCCCTTTTTTTACATTTTGAAATTGAAGAGTGTTTGAATTGTCTGTTTTTTCATGAACTTGGAAAACTCCAGGATGCCTCCCACTGCTGCCCAGTGCAGGTGATTGGTTTTCTTACTGTTTAGCAGCAGGGTAGGAAAAATGAAGGACTGCTGTCCTCCTTTTTCTTTTTTGCAATAATCTTCAAAACATTTTCATTTTCCAAAGGACAGATAATGCATGGTATTTCTTTAATGTTCCTGCTTTCATTTTTACTTTCTCAGCCAGATCAACAGTCAGTATAACAGCAGGAGGCAAAAACAAAAGGAGCAGTCAAAGATAAATCGTGGTAGGATTTCTTATCAGTGCAGACAAAAAGAAGCTTGGATAAAAGTGGAACAGTTGGCAGCTGAACTCCAACAGAAAATTAATACTTTTTTTGTTGTTCAAATATAAACATACATGATCTCACATAAACATGTTTCACAGTTGTACAGATAATAGCTGTTTACATGGTACTTAGCAGATTCAATGTTGGCAAACTGATGTTGGGAGGAATTTCTTCAGGGCACTTTGGACACACTTCACCCATGCACCCACCTAGGAAAGAGCAGTGTAGCTGTAATTCAGTTCCTGACACAGCAGCATTGGACTTTTTCTGTCTGCAGCCTCATTTTCACATATCTGTAACAGCTTTCAGAGACGCTGTCTAAACTGTTGCTATTTTTAGCCTTTTTTAATGAGAAAGACAAAAATGGCTCAGACGAGGGCTTTCTCCAATCCCTTTGGCAGCATTCCAGCTGTTCTGGCAGCTGAGCTATTAAGTTAACTAGCTAGCTAGAGTCTCCTGCTCATTTTATTCTTTTACAGATGGAAAAGAGAAGTGTATGCGGGCTGTGACTCATGTCGTGACTCCTCTTTGTTAAAAAAATACCCTTCAGAGCGTTATGACTTTCCTGTGCAAGCCTTGAACCCAGTCTTCTGTGTTCTGTTGAACAGAGAACCTACACTTTGTTTTGTTCTTCACAGTCTATTTACTCACTTTTTAACCTGTCTTTTTAAGGAAGTGTAGACAATCATTGTCTGTACATAATAGAATATGCTCATATCAATACCCAGCCTTGCAATACGAGAGGAGGGTGCATTTCCTTGTGTTCTGTGCATTTCTTTGTGTTCTGTGCTGTCAGTTGAGGGTACAAAATTAGGGGGGCTAATCTGCTTTTTCTGCAGTGCAGATGGTTTGCTGGACCAATTATAAGACGAAAAAAAAAAAAGGAATCAGGATGAATCATGCTGAAGATAAAAATCAATTGCTTGCTATGCAGATACAATAGCAAAATATCTTGGTCAGCGGAACTGCTTTGAGTTCAGTGCAATGGAATAGAGAATAATCAGGGCTACAAGAATAGCCACTGTCTTTGCAAGGTTTGTTGGCTCAGATCAGCAGCTGGCTTTGTGCAAGCAGCGGTTTCATCTTAAATCATGACACCCTTATTGATCATGAGACAGAGACAGGAGAATCCCCTTTATTTTGTCTGACATTAATGAAGATGTAGGAGGGAAACACTGTATTTTTTTTTGTTGTTGTTCAATCATGTTGAAATATATGTCAGAAAGACTGTCCAGAGTAAAATTAAGTAGAAAGCAGGAAAAATATATTTCTGCATACTGCTCTTACGGAATTCAATATTTTTATATGAGGAATGCCTATGACCTAAAAAAAATTATATAGTACTAATAATAACAACAGTAAGGTTATGTTTCTAGCTCTACAGCTGCAGAATTGGTATCAGCAAAGTAGATAATACTGGGCAAAATACGACAAATCTGGATAAATTTACTGTAAAATTAATTAGTATAGTGGATATTAAGATATTATATAGATGGTAGACCTGAAACATTTTTTGGGTAACAATACACATATTCAGCCAACAACAGCAACTAAGAGTTGTTTTTTTTCCTTAAATCACTAGATTTTAAACTTACATCTAGGCAACACTCATTAGAAACGTCTTATTTTGTACTGTGTACCTGGTACCTTAAATACTAATCATATGCATTTCCCCCAGTATCACTTCAACCCTTCCCAGTCAGTCCTTGTCATGGAAGGAGACGACATTGAGAATATAAATCGAGCTCTCCGAAAGGTCTCTTACATCAACTCTAGACAGTTTCCTACTGCAGGCGTACGACGTCTCAAAGTCTCCTCTAAAGTCCAGTAAGTTTTAATTCAGCTCACCTGATTAGAAATATTTTCAATGAATTATTTCTTTCTTCAGACAAGTAAAAAAGGGACTTATAAAATCATATTTCGATGTTATTGAGCAAAAAGTATGAATTTCAATTACTTTTGTACTGATTTACTTTGTGGTTTTCTTTTGATATTTTCCTTGTAAGAAACTTTTCTTTTGAATGTAATTTACTTGCATTCTGTTTATAGTCTGGAGCATACAATCTGGACTGAAGAGTGTATGCATTTATTGCATAACTATTTCAACAATCATTTAAAAAAATAGTTATAGTTTCTTCTAGTATACATAGAGCCATGTTTTTTAAAGGAGGCCTGTTACTTCTTACAGACTACATAGCTGCAAGTGCATTTATAACTACGCTTGAAGTTGTCTTTGTCTGTCTATATCCTTCTGTGGCTGACATCGCAGAAGCGTTGGTGTTTGGTGTTGAACAAAAATCTTTGTCCTTCCATTTTCATGCTAAAATTGTAACAGAACCTACATAATAATGTTTATAGTTCTGTGTAGTAAAACAACCATCTGCCACTCCTGAGCTCCCAGGGGTACCTCTCTGTTACAAGAAGTTGGGCAGAGTACTGAGAGCAGGTTTTGAGAGAGAGAACCAGCTGGTGACAGATACCCCTTGTGTACAGTTCTTTACTTGGTTTACTCTGGTGCTGTGGGCTGACCACACTATGGAGAACAACTTCTGATTTCATGTCACTGAGATGGAGTTCAGCTTGCACACCCCAGAGCTGTCCTTGATCTATGCAAACATGCTTGTAAGATAGATTGTTTGGAGATTAACTTAAAAGCATGCTGCTGATTCAAACAAAAATGCTATTATAGGTCCCCCTAAAAACTAGGGAATGCCAGAATGTGTCCATGATAGGTTCAATATAAACAGGTCATTAGAGGCCCTTTTAGTCACACATGACAAGATACCCCATTATGTTCACTGGATACCACTTTGAGAATTTCAAGTTAGGTTTCCTATACATAGTTGTCATCATCCAGTTAATTTTATTTTTTTAACTGTGCACTTCTTTGTTAAATGTCAGTTAAATATCAAAATATTATTCTTACAGAGACCTTACTAAAGATAAAGCTTGTCACAAAGCTCCTTGTTTAACCCTCTCTTTGTAATTTCAGTAGTTGTGAATCTGGGTAGGGATAGAAGGAACAGAGCTGTTACTGCTAGCTGATCTACAGATGCATGTGGTACTGATGCACGTCCTTACGTAACAGTGTCAAAGTAAGGAATTGACTGAAATAATAAAATAAAAAAAATAATAAGAGGCATCAGGTGGGTTTTAGACGATGCAAGTGCCACACACCTTTGATGTGCAGTGTGTTACATCCAGTTAATAACATATTTTTCAGATGTTTTGGTGAAGATGTCTGCATTAATATCCCAGATATCGATGCATATGTAATGGTGCTTCAGGCCAATGAGCCCAAGATTACAATAAATGGGATGGACCACTTTTCTAGACCAGCTGCACAATTTGAAAGTGAAAGAGGTGTCATTCTGCTGCCTGACATCAGGATTGTCAGCACTGTCACAAAAATGGAGCATTCAAGAAAAAATGATGGAGGTTTGTTGGTTTCTTTTAAATATTATCGCTTACTCAGTAATATGAGTAATATTATATATTAGTCATATTTTTGAAAGGGTAATGCAAAAAGGTAGCACAAAGTCACTTCACGCAAATCATTTTAAGCCACATTAGTCAACAGCAACGCTGCAGTGAAGACATTCATTTAAACAGATCAAAAAGTGAACAAATCCCTATTCATTTGATTGATCAGAATGTGCTTCTGAAAAGGCAGCTATTTCATGTCTTGCCTACTTCAGAGTAATTCCTTTCTACTCTACATACTCTGTTGACTAATGTATTTGCATTAAATTTTGTAACCAAATGTATTAATTGGAACAATGGAAAGTACTTACTGACTATAGTTGGAGGTTTAGTCTGTTCTTACACTTCTAGCTCTGCTACTGACTTTTGGATTATACTTGAGTAAGTAACACAGTCCTCTTTTGACTCAGTTTCCCATACATAACAGAAATGTAATAATTTACAGATTTTCAGTGATTAAAGTTTTTTCTAATGCTGAAGAACGTGTGTTACTCTTTGACACTAGGTGAATGTTTACAAATAAAAATATGGTTTAAAAACATAGTCTAAAGGAATCATCCTTTTGGATGATACTTTGCTAAGTAAGTGAATCCTAACAAACTGATGCATCTTTGTAAATATTTTGTGGGCTAGAATAAGCAGTCACTGGATGTACGTTTCTTGAAAAAGATGAAATCATTAATGATGTGCAAGGGTGGAAGCATGGATTCCCTGAATCTATTCCCTATAATAATGCTAACTTGCCTTAAATTACATTTATTCTCTGAAGGCTGGAAAGTGCATTATATCACAGTACCAACTGCATACAATTAAGGTATGTCAAATTAATTCCTGTGTGGAAAAGAGAGCATTATCCTTCATCTAAGAGATGCTGCATGTATGATACTCTGTGTCCCTAAATATTATGACATCTTCAGAACTGTTCAGTGAATTAGGAACTAGTGCCCTCCAGTTTAGTTTATGTGTTTTGTATATCCCAATTTTTCTAAATACAATTGTTGCCATAATTATGGCTGTAGCACCTCTTCGGAACTTAAAAAGCCTGAGGTCTCACCTTCAGATGGAACATAGCAGCATTACTGTTCTACATAGTAATGCTATTGTTTAATTGCTGGGAAGTCAGGTACTTCCTAATGTGCCACCTGTTATTTTTATCCACTAATAATTAAAATGAATAGATAATAATTGGTTTGGGGAATAACTGTTTTGCAAATGATTACTGAATTCTACCTCTCAGCTCCTGTACTGTACAGCTTGCACTATTATTTTTCTCAGTCTGCATACTATCTCACAGACTTACATACATAACAAAGATAACCATAAATTTTCACCTATATCTAGTTATTCCTATTTTTGCTCTTACTAAGAAGCTACATACTTTGATCATCGTAAGTGCAGCAGCGATGCACGCGGCAAGGCAAGGCTGAAGAGGCTAATGTAGTCCTTGTGTATTCCTCAGTCACAGGACCAGTCAGGTCTCACTTCAAAAGCAGAGCAGGCAGTTGCTGTAGGCAGCAGCATGACTGTGGCTCTGAGGCCTTTTTCACCTGCAGGGGTCCCCTGGAATGCTGAAGTGTGCTGCTTGTTCTGTCTCAATGGAGAAATCAGTGTGACCCAGTGTGACTGAAAGTGCTTTCTTTGTGCTATGTTTACCACAGAATCAAAATAATACACTGATATTCTACTTTTATTACAGTGATTCCAGATTTTTGTTTTAATCATACTTATTGAAGGCTAGTCACTTTAGGACTTAATTTTTCTATGTCATATCATACAAACTCTTGCCATTTATGATAATCCCATGATGTTTTCAGATAGATGGCATAGTGTTCTCTATAATGCAGACTTTTTATGGGTCACAGAATAACTGAGAAAATCATCTATGCATTTATATATTTGATATTTGTAATCTGCAGTACCAATCTGGTATCAATACTGAAAAGCAGAATTGTTAACATGAATTTGTTTCCATAATCAAATTTTAGTTTTCGGCCTTCACTGCTGCACGTGAGTTTACTATAGAAAAATAGTTATAGAAAAATTTATCTTCTATCTCACTATATGTTTCTAGACCTTCATTGTTGCAGCATCGGAACAGGCAAAATGCTTCTCTTGATTTGCTTCAAGTGTACTGTGCTTCATATGAGCAAAGAACAATTCAGACATCATTGCAAAATTCTCTGTTTCTTTTCTCTTTGTGGTATATGCCATGTGTTCACAGCTAATAAGTCAGTGGTCTTGGAAGAAATGCTCCACAACTTGGATTTCTGTGATGTTTTGGTCAGTGGTGCAGAACTAGATCCTGAACAGGAGTGTTTAGAACTAGATCGTACTGAGCTTCAAGGAACACATCTAGATGCCACAAATTCCACAGCAGGATATTCAATCTATGGTATGTTCATGATGTTGCATTCCCTTATTTCTTCCCACCAACAGTTACATTCTCGGAATGAAAGGACAACAAAATTTGCGAGAAAGCTGTGGTGTGCTACCTGTAAAGTATTTCAGGAGAGACTGTCTCAAAAAAGAATAATTAGTTCTTGTTCTCTGGGGATGTTGTGTTTATCCATTATCCTCCATGAATAAGCACAGCTTTGTCTCATCTCTACTCCCCAAACAAGGAAAAAAGCAACACTGCTTGCTTTAACTCTGAAGGATCTTGTGGACCATCATGCTGGAATGTGTGAATGAGGGGGTTCCTCAATTCTTCTGCACAGTGCTGGTAACACACTAGCTTTGTTTTGTTTTTCTTCCCTCTGAGTACTTAATACTTTATTCTGAAGCTTTGTGGTTATATTTATTCTTTTCCATTATAGACTTACCTTTGATTCAGAAAGCTATTTTCTCTGTTAGAGAATATCTGATGCACTGCCAAGTCCTGTATTTTCTGTGGCTGTTTGATTTCTCCTGTGCACAGAGAGTTTATTGCACAGCACCCCAACTGATAACGCTGCCACCATTTCAGGTGTGGACACCATGCACAACTATGAACAGGTTCTTCAGCAGATTCGATACCGTAACTGGTACACTTCTGCCACCTCTGAAAGAAAGTTCAGAATCAAGTGCTCTGAGCTGAATGGGCATTACACCAGCAATGAATTTAACCTGGAGGTAAGGAGTCTTTTAGTTAAGCCTTTCTTTTCTAACACTGAGGCTGAGTAGTTGCTCCATCTTTCACAATTAGATTTGTTTAAAATCTGTAGTATGATTGACACTTCAAATTCAGGAAGCATTCTGAAGTTTTATACAGAGAGGAAATTAATGTTTGTTCTCATTCCTCTGTGGGTTTGCCTCGTCAGATGCACTGTGACGTTTGTCTTGAACTCCTCTAACAGAGAGACTTCTGCAGGATAAGGTTGTCATCATTGGTTTTTCATAACCCTATTTATCATGTGAAATGTCCTACAGTTGTTGGGGGTTTTTTTGTTTCTTTTTGAGATGTATATATTCAAATTAAATCACCACAGCTTCATTATTTTCTTTAGTTGCTTTTTAACCTCTCGCACTTTTCTTTACTGCTATGTTCAAGTTTTCAGTTTTGCCAAGCAATAACTAGTTATAATAATTTTTATAAAATCTTCTCCATCAGGTGGAAATTGTTGCTGGTAACTTGCATTATTTCAGATTACTTTGAGAAGGAAAGTTAGTATACAGATATTGAATGCATAGCATGGACTTAATCTTTCATACTACCCACATATGGTCAGTCACTATAGGAAAATCTGGATACCTCTTTTGAAGTTATTTTTGCTGGCACTAAGTAAGTCCAGTGCCTCACACCGGCTCAGGGACAGAAAATGGCTGCTTGATGCATCTCAGCAGGAGACCTGTACTGATGCTGAAGAAATTGCTTATCCAGCCTAGAATCCAGGTAACAAGTAACTACAGAAGTGCAAGACCTTAGCAACAGGCTCAAAATTTTGTAATCTGTTTTGAACAAAAGTGTGTGCTTAAGTTTTACTGAAAATGCTGCTTACCTTAGCATCATGCAGCCATGACACTGACTTCAGAGTTTTTGCTAATAACTTTCTGGGAGCATCTAAAAGTTCAGCAGCAGAGCAAGAAAGGAAGAAGAAAAAAAAGTACACTAGTTATCCATACAGATAAATCAATAAAAAGAGTCTACTTTGCTGTGCTACTTCATCTATAGTCAATGGACCATTAACGCTTAGGAATTAGGTTTCAAGGTTTATATACTAATATTCCTATCTTCTGATGAACTTCTTAATACAATATAGTATATGGAGCCAGCAAATAGAATACAGAAGAATATCCGATAGAATATCTGATCTCTTGTGCCAGGTTAATATTCTGCACAGCACCAACTCCAACTATATGGACCATGTAAACCATGTGATAGTACAGCCACACTTTCTCCAGTCAGTCCGCCATCCAGAGGAAAGCAAAAGTACTGTTCACAGCTCAGGTATGTGATGCCTTTACAGTGACTTTTCAAAATGATTGTCATGTTGGTTATGTCCTTTATGATTCAGCCTAATCAACAAATGAAGTCTTGAAATTTTCCATAGTTATATCTTGTGAAACCTGACATTGATCATGGCACCTTTTGACAGAAAGCTGTTACACTGTTTTCTCTTTCTGATGATGTACTTAGTACTAAAAACTGGTATTCTTTTTAAAGTCTACATTAAAGGCTAAGTACTCTGGTTCAATCTAGTCAACAGGGCATCTTGTTTATAGTACTGAATAGTGTGAAGGATATTGTTGTTTTACATCTGTATCACTATGGCATGTCTGTTTCTGCCTATCCTTTCCTAGGCAAAATGAAATTATTTTTGTAATATTTTTAAAGAAATAATCTGGCAGTGCTGCTGGCTGCTGTCCAGGCCTCAGTCTGGAGCTCTCTGCAGAGATTTGTTCCTAGTGATGCACAGAGGGCATTAGTATTTATTAAATCCAGAATTTGAACTAAACATTTGAGCTGTGTAAGTTAAAATGTATAGCCAAAGAAGCCTTTTCAGTAAAGCTAAACTCAGGACATAGCTATCTGTCTGAAAGCTGGATTCTGAATTCTTTTTACTGAGTGGTAAGCAAGTATGTAAAGAACAAAGCTGAATAAGCATAGGTAATTCTAAAGTGTTATGATACTGTTTGGGTTGGTTTTTTTTTTTTTGTTATTTTTTTTTTTAATTGCTATTGCAAAACCAACTATTGCAAAGTGCTCCTTTCTTTTCTTCTTTCATCTTGTTCTGATTTCAGAGTTCCAGTTTTACAGGCAAGGCAGCAAAATGGGGTACAGAACTACTGTAGCTCCTGGAACTTCAGTACTTAGGTAGCAAAATTACATTTCCACTAATCTGTACCACTATGGAGCTGATAACATAAGAGCAGTGTGGAGAGATGTCTTTCTGTGACTAGCTGGAGATAGAGGCTTCTCAGAGTGCAATAGAACAGTGAGGAAAAATGTCTTGAATCCTCAGGAGTCTTTAAGAAAGACTGTAACACAGGCAATAGAGCAGCAATGCTTTGTATTATTTCTTGACAACGGAAATCCCAGTATGAGTGTTTGAAACCTTCTAAAATACAAGTGTGGAGATAGATATATTTTTCTCACAGCTGCTGTTAAAGCTTCATTTACCTGTAGTCAGAAGGAGACAACACACAGGTAAGATGAAAATGCAGAAATGTTTGTTTTGAAACTAATTGATTCTGAACTGGTTGACTGCTTTTCTTCTGTAATGAAGTGAATTAAATCACGAACATTAGGCATAGTAACTTTTTAGTTAAGATTTGCAATACTTTTTATTGTATACGCTCTGCCCTGGAACGTGGGCACTTCACCAACTCTGCAGTTCCAGACAGGTGGCAGAGAAATAGATACCAAGGAGTGAAAAATAGACAACATGTTCAGTGTTTTGTAGGCAGCTTGGTCTGTAGCTATAAACGTGTTGCCTTTTCCACTTTTTGTTTCAGTTGTTCCAAGTGTGGCCACAGTCGTAATTGTGATCTGTGTGAGTGTACTCATTTTCATCATAGCCGTGGGAGTCCATAGAATTCGGACAGCCCAGCAGCACAGCTCTACAGACAATGAAAGCAGTAAGGAAAATGAAATGGATTGGGACGATTCTGCTCTGACTATTACTGTCAACCCCATGGAGGTGAGATACTGAAACATAGTAGTGTATTGTGTTAATACCAGGAGTTATTGTCGGGGCTGGTAGGTTCTTAGCTGCAAGTTTAAAGCCTCTTTTTGTGTACATTTCATAAGGCTTGGCAGAACAGTTGTATGTACAGTCGGTCAGGACTGCTGCTTAATTTTGAGATCTGCACACCATGATAATATATAATTGAAAACTTAGCAGTTATTTCTGACAATAAAAAAAAATATTAAATATATGGTGCAGCACTCTAGGGTGCAACATAACTTCTTCCATTCGTCTTTGCACTCCAGGCACCTAAGATGAAGTAGTTACTTTGTAAATATTAAAACTCTTAAGGGAGGGGAAATGATCAGCAATTCAGATAAACTGGCATTGAGGGGTTAAATTTTGTCAGCTTGACTAAAAAAACAAAGCTATCACTTATTAATATTCCATTCTTGTTATATTTGCTACTGAACTGTAGTATATTTAATAATCACATAATGACGAAAAGCAAATTTTTTCCTGCATGTTAGCATTTTCAAATGATGTGCAATAAGGGTTCATGTTTTCATAGCCACTGTCTAGCAAGAAGGGACTTACCTTCTATTGTCAGCCTCTCATTTCTTTGAATCTTCTGTAGAAATATGAAAAGCCTCACCGGGTAGAAGAGGAGAGTGAAGAGGAAGATGATGAGGAGGAAGATACGACCAGTGCTGAATCGGATGAAAGTGAAGAGGAGGAGGATGAGGAGGATGAGGAGGAAGTGACTGTCCAAAAGAGAGGCAAGCAGAATCTCACCAGGCAAGAGCAGTTGGAGTGGGATGATTCAGCACTCCCATACTAACAGCCCTTGAGCCACATTGCTCCTTTTGTAACCACCAATACAATGTTTTCTCAGTCTATGAATTCTTTGACAGGATTTGAACTGCTTGCCTGTAACTGTTTTGCCTAAAATGATCTTGTTGTAGTAATTGATAATGATAGAACTGACCCTTTTCCTACAAAGGCTGGAGAACACATGGTACAATCATACTGGCATTGCCAGTTCTGAAGTAATCTAGAACTTAATCTGTTAGCAAGCATAGGGTTCAATTTCCTCTTTCTGTAACAGAAGTCTGTGACAAAAGTGTTGTCACTCAGTCCACAGAGGTTTTTTGTCTTTGCTATTTTTTCCATATAGGAGAGATTTCAGCTTGTTATGAAGAACTGCCTGTGTGGGTCCAAATCACAAACACAGTTGCTGCCCTTTGGCTTCACACATTTACAGGTGTAACATAATGTAATCCCCCACTTCAAATTAGGAGAGTTTTAGTGCTACAGGTGACAGAGACTAAATTCCATTCATTGTCTCTTCCTGCCTTCTTGGATGTTATCTTCTACAAGGAAATATATTTGGGATGCATGTATGCCTGTGTAGAAATGGACAGTGTATTTTACAAGAATGCTGTCTGAACCATGAAGAGGATTTTATCCAACCCATGCATAGAAGCTGAAGAAAGTGAATGCTGAAGGTTACCGGGGGGAAAAAAAATATCATTCTATGTCCACAAATGAAATGATCTTATACAGACAGAAAATTCTGTTTGAATTGATATACTGAAAACCTGTACAGCCACTCATTAGTTATGGATTGAACAATTTGCAGCAAATCGATGCTTTAACCGTCCTGTAAAATCGTTAGCTTGCTGCAGTACCTTACTGAAATAGTGGAAAATAAGCGACTTCATTATACCACAGATATGTACAGTTGGGATTCAAACAACGATTTTTTAATGAGGAAAATGTTCCCCTCTGCTTTGCTGAGTGCCAGCTGCAATTCCTGTCTGGCTTTATTCTATAGAAAAGTATGTCGTTACCCCACCCTGAGTGACACAAAAGAAAGTGACAACACAACTGTCAGCCCACTGTTGGCTCATAATTCTCCCTTATTTCTTCTTCCTGAAGCCATTATTGTTAAGAAAAGGTTTTATAAAATAGAACTAGGATAACTAAAACCTACCTGGAACCAAAAGAAGTTGAAAAAAACTCGTAAGAGGTTGAGAGAGTATTTTAGTTACGGTAACACAGCATATTTTTCTTATACACTGTTAAAAAAAAAAGCTACGTACAATGTGTTGGTAAGTCTTTGTGGTGTGTTTTCTGTCCCCTTTCCTTAATAATCTATCTTCAAATGTTCTGCATACCAAGTAATGCAGCACTTACTTGCTAGGATAACTGTTCTACTGCATAAAAACCAAAATGGCATGGAAGTGAATGCTGCCTAGTGGCTTTTCTGCTTTTCTCCTAAAATGGTTCCTTTTGTTTACTATTTTATCACTGACTTTTGTAATTTGCTATTTGAAATGAGCTATGTCCTCTTCTCTCTCCCAAAGAAACAAGCAGTTGGTTTTGACTTACTAGGATGTTCCTGAGCACCTATGTATGATAACTCATCCTGCAAAGAGTAACCTGAGAGATCTTGAGGGTACTCACATACACCATTAGCAGCAGCAGCTCCTGCAGGTCTTGGAATTTAGAGAATGTATTGTTGGGTTTCTAGTTGGTGATGGACTTGTTAAATCAATTTAAATCAATTTCTGCATCCATCTAATAGCTGTAGGAAAAGATTGACCACAACTGGATAGTGCAGTTTAGTCATGAGAAAGTAAATGAAAAAAACCTGAATATATTTTAAAATTAGAGATTTTCGTGCTCATTTTTGTTGTTTATTTTTGTTCTAGACTCTCATAGGAATTAAAAAAGTATGTGAAGAATTGAGCCTAGATACATAAAATTTATCTGCAGGAATAAAGATCATATAAAATGGGCTACAGCATCTATAGAGAGCCTAACCTGCACAAAAAAAAAAATCATGTATACTACGTCCTAATACCCTATATCATTCCCTAGTGTTACTACTTTTATTAGTGACATGAAGCAGGGCCTTCATGATACTTGTTATCAGCACATTTCTCTGCAAATGAAAGGAAATTTGATATTTAAATATCTACTTTTAATTTCATATTTAAAACTGGACTTTATTTAGATTGCTTTTAATGTCTCTGTTTTTCCTGATTATTATCATTGTTATCAATGCAAATGTTAAAGCAAGCTGAAAACAGCAATATTATAAATAGTCTTTCATTGTTTTATATGCTTGTGTCTGTCCAGCTAATGGATTTTTACCTTTTTGTTACTGGAAGCAAATCTATTCATGTCATGCTGGTACATTATACAAAAAGCCAATATGAGGTATTTTCTCTACTGTAAACAAACTTACCTTTTTAGACTTAAGCAAATTAATGCAGGAATGGGTATCAGATAAATTTGGTTTGCAACAAAATACTCAGAAAACTCAAGTGTATCACTGTACATAGTTTAGAGTAAGCATGGCGGTGGGTTATGCAGCATTTTTCATTCAGAAAGAGGAGCAGAAAACATCAGTAAGAAAGAGCTACTTCACAAGTTTGACCTTACAGTTAAAATATTTGTATTACTTTCACAACAGTGACTTTATAAGCAATAACCTAGTTCTAGAATAACACAAATATAAAAATGTTTGAATTACTTTAAATAGCTTCCCCACCATGACTTTTTTTTTATTGTAAACTAGTTGCTTAAAACTAAACCAGGACATCACATGCACACACAGGCACCCCTTCTGCCCTCTCCCCTACCCATCAAAAGCCAAATAAATCTCACCTTTTATCTCCAAAAAATGTGTTTATGCTGCAAACTCGGGAATGTCAACTGCAGATGTACTGTTTATCCTAAGTCCAGTTGCAAGTTTTGAAGAGCTATCAAGGCACAAAAACGGTGGCTTTCTTACAGTAACAATAAGCAAGCACATCCAAAAACCAACTCTGAATCTGTACCTGTACTACAACAGCCAGAATCTGTGACTACAGAGATGTAAAATGATACCAATGAATGCTCTTGTGTTGAAATTCTAATCGAAGGCTGGGAAAAGCTGCAAATGCAAATTTAAGACACCAATACACTGTTACATGCATTAATATAGCTGCCTAAGTTGAGTTTTGTGATCACTGGCTCTCATTTCTTTTTCACTTCCACCTGATCCATGGTTATTTTATCTATCTCTCTCTGCAAAGAGAACGAAACAGGCTCAATTTTCAAGATCAATCTCAAAATCTACTACTATTTCAAATTAGAAATAGACATACAGGGCTCATGACATCTTTAATGGTAATTAAAATAATGTTTCTGCTGGACTATTTGTTCACTGAAAAAGAAAGTAGTGGCTCTATTGCTTTTAACTGTAAAGGACCTCCTTCACCAAGGGCCACTGGGAAAGTGCAGTGTGTTTCCCTTTCTGGTGCTGGACTTGCTGTGAACATGCACCATCCATCAGTCCCCATTTACAGAAGCTGCTCCTGCTTGACACTAAGCTGAAAAACAGTGCCATAGGACAGTAGCAACTCCAGGTGAAGGCCTGGTCAGAGGATAATCCCAGAAGCAGCCCTCATGTTACTTTGGCAACTATTCTGAACCCTGCATATAATTGTGCCTCACTCAGCTGTCTCATTCCCTCAGACAAGTAATGCATTTACCTAGTGAGGAGTGAAGTCGGCTGGGAGATGATACTGCCTCTGATGCAATTTCTGGCGTTGGCACGTGCTACACGCTGATGAATTCTGCCATCATCCATCCTTGGCAGACAAAGAAAGGAAAGGTATTACTCAGGCGACAGAAGAAAGTCTGAGGGGATGTCCTGAAGAAGCTGCTTCTGTACTCTGGAATATAAATTATTACACCAAATTAAGGATGTATGGAAAAGGATGAGAATACTTAATTATTTAGGGAGGGAAAAGAAATAAACTAATAAAACATCTCTAGGACTTGGGAAAAGTCTCTTCTTCCCTTAATATAATCAGCATTGTGAATTAAGTATAGCCATAACAGTACAGCACTACAAGTTTTTGTACGCTTGCTGAAAATGGCAAAATTCTCTTAGCATGATACAATTTTCATATAAACAATATTCAAGAATCTCTTTGGAGGCAACGGAGCCAAATAATACTGTGGCAATTAACATCTCAACCATGAATAACAAGTTGATTTAATTCTTATTTCTGTATTTATTTTAGCAAATATTTTACCTTGCTGCAGTGCAGTTTTTTCCTGGATGTATATACTCTGTAGTATTTCTACACCACTGTTAAAAAGGTCCCGAGAGGTTTACAGCAACAGTAAGAAAGAGAACAGCTCATTTGGCAGAAAATGAAGGTGACATAGCTTGCACAAAGGGATTTTAAATATACTTACTTAGATGTCTGTCTTCTGGTTCTTGATGAAATCCCAGCATTAGAAAAAAAACAAGTAGAAGTTCTGACACGTATTGACAGTTGTCAAACTGAGAAGCACACTGGTATTTCTCATTTAATGTATGGATATAAATATACAATATCTAGATGGGAAATACAACTCTTGTTGTATCTAGAGTTTTCTGTGATGCTGTATAGATTCAAGCTGCACATCTGCAGCTGCTCAGAGAATATTTGGAACTGCTGGAAGATACAGAGTCTGTAGAGTCAGAGCCCCTACATCAGGCTAATTAATTCCAAGCTTTTTAGGATCTCTGTCAGGTGCTATTCAACTGCTGGCATATTAGAAATCACAGACAAAAAAACAATGAAGTCTGATAAAAACTACTGAACAAGAAAGTAAAATTATTGAGAGAAGGGCAGAAAGGGTTGTGTATTAGCCACAGCTTGTTGTGTCACTCACTTCTGACAGTAAGGCTTGTGGTTGGTGCACCCCTGGACGTTCACTGTAGGTGCTCATCTTTCCTTAATATCTGCCTCAGGCTGCTTAGAGACATCAGTCATGCAAATCTGAGAAGAGAGAATTTATACATATATATTAAAAATACAACAAAAATAAATGCACCTTTAACAATACTAATGGTATATAACAGTCTGCTATATAAATGTGATATACCACATGTTTCAGCTAGTATCAACAATTCTATAATAGCACTACATCTCTGCCTCCTTAGGCTAAACTAAGAAATCCCTTAATGTGGTCAGCTTTACAGCAAAAGAGATGACAAAAATCTCAGATGACCCAGCAGATGAATTAAAGTGTATTCTGTTATCAGTCTGTTTGCTTTAG